AGTGACCCTATCTATTACTAGTGCATTTATATCAAAGTTAACATTACGATCTATCCGAGAATAAAATTTTAAATTAATATATCCCTGGGTAGCTTTACTAGTACCTCCGATGCCTTTAACTACAGGACATGAAAGTGACCTATTTATTACTAAGCCTAAGCGCTGACAACATTGTCGCGTTATAAAGCTATTTTGGGCTCCGCTGTCCAGCAGTGCACGGACGCTTTGTTCGTTTCCACGCGAATCCCTAACCAAAATACGCGCCGTACCCAGTAACACGGTTGAAGGAGGTTGTGCTCCCATATTTGCCAATGAGCACAGAGCGACATCACCAGGTCGACCGCTAGAATCGTTGACCTTAGTAGGGGTGAATTCCTTGTCCGCTTTACTTGACGCCGCTATGTTGCTATTTTCAAAATGTAATAGCGTGTGATGTTTCCTGGCGCACTTGCTACATACAGAACTCGAATTGCATTTTGCAACTAAATGCTTATCACTTAAACAGTTCAGACATAGGTTGTTTGTCTTTACTAATTTATAACGTTCGCTTGGTGAATATTTACGAAAAGTCGCACAATTATATAAATTACCGTGTTTATCTTTACATACGATACAAGTATGCTGAAGTGATGTTGACGTAGCTTGACCCTGCTATTTTAGATGGTTGAGTATGTCTACAGTCGACGCACCTTTTAATCTCTTGTTTAACGTTCGGAGAGCGCTGCATCACCTTTATTTGATCTCGCACGAACGATGCTAATGAATGAAAGGAAGGCATCTCCGAGCTACGATGCTCCATTTCAAACGCACGCACGGTGTCGGGGTCTATTTTCTTTGGTGCAATATGGAGAAACACCACGTCCATAAGGTCATTAAATTTTAAATTCTTAAGTGCAGCCACCGATGCCACAAATTTATCTAGAAACTGCTCTAAGCTGTTGATGTTCGCGGATGATATAGGTTTAAGATCGAAAATCTGGTTCAAATATTCGGAAGCTAACATTCTCCTATCTTCATATTTAGTTTTAAGCGTTTCGAATATTAATAAGTAATTGTTTGCTGTAGGTGTAAAACCAGAGCAGATCGACTGTGCTCTGCCACTAAGTTTACTAATTAAGTAATATAATTTTTCAGCGTCCGATAACGATGGGTTATTGTGTATATTGTTTTGAAAACTACTGAAGAAAAAGGGCCACGTCTTAATATCACCATTGAATACCGGAATATCTATTGGCGGAAACCTAATTGAGTCACGAGGACGTACCTGCAATTCCGGCTTTGCTTCGTTTTGAGATTGTAGGAGTTTTGCCGTTCTTTTCACGCGACACAACATATCTTCGAATGCCAGCAGCGGTTGGTAGTTCACTATGTATTTCGGGTCGATTTGTAATTCCAAATGATTAATTTGGTCTAATATTCTTTCGTAATCCGTCCGCAAAGAATCCACCGTTTCAATTTCATTCAGAAAAGTTTCCAGCACCGCTTCTACATTAATGTTCTTTATATGATCGCTAATGTTTTGTATACGTGAAAAAAGTACGTCCCTCTTGGCATAAAGCGTTTTAATTTTAAATTCACTTCCACTAACTGCCATTTTAAATTATTATAACAAAGTTATTAATCACAATTAATCTCACACGCATAAACGATGGACGATGGACGCTCGGTATGCCGTATTACGTAATTAAATCGAACACCTGCTACAGTCGAGGCGACACGTTGCTTGCTAACTCAATGTTTTTATAAAGATTGTCGGGTAATCGTACCAAACGGTTCCTATCACACTGTTTCAATTTTAAACCTTAAATTTAACCAAATACGAGCGCTATGAAATAAACAATTCTGTTTGCGAGTACCTAATCAAAATTTAAACGAACACTATTTACACTATTTACGAACACTAATTATTCGACCAGAAAATGGTTGGATAACCACTAAACACCAATCCAAATCCTGCCCGAAGTGACCATAAAATGGTGGAGCCACGTGTTTAAGGCTGCCGAAGTCTAGTTCCCCGGTCGAACCTTAAACCTATTGCGCGAATTATTAATCTAAGTGGACTGTATCTAATAATGCTTCTACACTTGTATATGCGGTACAATGCACTCGCTCTTCCCAAAAAAAACGAACTATTATGCCAAATCGATGAAAGGAATCCTGCTTGATTTGGAAAACACAAAATTGCAGCGGGTTAAAACTACTATATCAAGCAGGAAAATACTATTAGGAAAATGTTGACTCACCGGGATGTTTCTTCTGTGCGGTCGAGCACTATAACTGCGACTTCTGGAAAACTCCGGAGAGAGGCGGTTCGCGACTATATCTCACACGAGGTGAGGCGGGTTTCCTGGAGCTCGACTGCTTCCAGGCTAAAGCGGTTTCTACTAGATGTGTTTCCAACAGCGAGCGCGGCGGGAAGAGAGCTGTGGTTTCAACGGCGAGCGCGGCGGGAAGAGAGCTGTGGTTTCAACGGCGAGCGCGGCGGGAAGAGAGCTGTGGTTTCAACGGCGAGCGCGGCGGGAAGAGAGCTGTGGTTTCAACGGCGAGCGCGGCGGGAAGAGGCCACGCGTCGGTCGCGCGTGTCTTATATATCCTCGGTTCCGATGATTACGTGATGTTCTAGAATCATCTTCTTTCCCCTCCCACCCCACTACCCCGATGTGTCGATAGGAGGGTACGAATGATATCGTTTTGGAAAGGGATAACCGATTTGGCAGCCTACCATCAAATAAAATAAATACGAATGGTTTTCCGCGCAACCATATTCAAACCGAATATGCTAGATACGCATTACTGTCATTACACTGTGATTATATTTACTTTCTCAATATGCTTGTTGATTAAATTGAAACTAATAACGTATACCGTATAATATCAACTCGTTAAGGATAAATAAACAAAAGTACGCACACGTGCAAATATCATCTTTCAACATCTTATCCTAAATATCTTATCGACTTAATTAAGTTCATTGAACTGTAATAATCAAGTCTCATTCCAATGTTGTGATAATTGGAAATATCAAATAAGAAAATAAATAATATCATAATACTTTGAGGGAGCGATTCTCGTGTGTTTTGTCCAAGTGTGTATACCTGTTTTTTTGTTTCTCGAAAATGTTCTTAAAGATTTGGATTTCTTCTTGTAGTAATATTGATCGGTCATTTAATTATAAATAACCTGGAACCTTTTAAAACGTAATAAAATATTTATTAGCTTCAAACTTTTCACATAAACAAAACACTACATCTTTTAAACTAATAATTTTCAATTGTAAATTTATAAGAAACTTTCGGTGAACAATATTTGAGAATACGCATGTAGATATTTTGCATTTATCGTTGTTGAATATTCAAAGCTCATCATGGCTTTCATTCTAAAGCATATTTAATTAGGCAGACATTGTTCAGTAATCAGATTTTGATTTAACTTCCAGTCTAAATTTGGAATTTAAAACATGTTTGTGAATGTAAATAATTTAAAATGGTTTGAATTGATTTAAAAAGTGGATTTCGAAAGCTTTTTTGGCTATGCTGAATATATGTGAAGCGAAAATGATAAAACGGATGGAGTATATAGAATGATGCATGATAGTAGTATGGATCCGTTATCTGAATAAATTATAATGCTAATTGTTGGGACAAGCATTATAATTTATTTAGTGTTAGTTACAATGTTTTTAGATGTAGCGGCGGGAATTCAACCCCAGGTTGCTTACGTACTGTGAAATTTACAGCGAGCGCTTAGTGACGGCTCAGCTTTTGATATCCGCCAGTACCAATGAAATTATTATTTTTAATTTTAAGCGCTAATATATTATATATTTGGTGGCGAAGGAAAACATTGTGAGGTAATCTGCATGTCCGAAAAATAAAGAAAAATATTTCGATGACGTGATTTCCGTGAACTCGCATTTTGACAGTGTGGTGGGCCTTGCCCTAAATCAAAGTTGGCCACAGGCCTTCTCCCATTTATAAAATTACGTCTGCCTCCTCCGTGGCCAGCTGTGAGATGTATATAATTTTTCGCAGTGTGCCACGTCGTCGTTTATTTAAATCTCAAAATGGAGTCGTATCTTAAATTTGATAACGTGTCTATTAAAATTGATAACGTTGTTTCAGTTAAACAAAGTAGTGTTACGCTTATTATCACACGTTACATTTAGCTAAAACATAAAATCTGGCCAGACCCTCGCTTCGCAAAAGTCTACTTGCAGTGGAATCGTGTGACGGGTAGTCTATTTTCCTTTAATAAGCACATCATCGAACATGTTTCTGTTACCCATACGTTTATAAATATTTTCCATTCATTATATATAACTATTCTATTGTAACCTTGAAAAGAGACAAAAATACGCGATATCTGCTGAGTTTCTTTTGCCATCACCACTCATTTGCATCCCTGGTCAAAGAACATTTTGAAACAAATACACTTGAAAAAGAAATTCATTTGACAACAAAATTATTTTCTTAATAAATATATTTCGTTATATGTAATTCAAATTATCAAGAACCCAAACTAACAAGAAGTGCCTTTACATTATTATTTGATGTCAGTATTTTCGGCCAATAAGGCTAAATTTTAGGGTCGATTGATTTTTTTTATTACAGAACTTAGCTTACAGAAGTTAGAGGAGGCCTTTGTCCATAAGTGGGACATATATAGTCTGTAACTTAAACTCCATGCCTCCGGCGTAGTTCCACCATGGAGGACGGAATTGAAGAGATTTTGAAGGATTCGGAATTGAAGAGATTCTCGGAGAATACCAGCGTAAAATAGTAGCTTAATGCTAGAGTACTGGAGACCCTTCTTACTGGAAACGAGGCATTCCATCTTAATTCTCACGGATTATTTTGATTCGTAATCGAGGATAGATGTATATGTGATATGTATTGCGGCTGCACAGCACAGCCAGTAATAAACTAGCCTCGCTACTAAACGGTTGTTTCTTTTGTTCAACTGGCGACGAGTTTTGTACATACCTACGCATAAAAAAAATTATGTCGTATTTAGGTAATTTGCCTGTTTTCGATCACAGAACAAGTGAATGGTCAATATTTTATGGGAAATTAACACAGTTCCTAAGGATAAATAATGTGACAAAAGAAGAAATTAAGAGTGGTATCCTGCTTACTCGTCTCACCGATGAAACCTACCGCTTAGTACGTAACTTAGCGTACCCTAAAACGGTGGAATCGTTAACTTACAACGAGCTAGTTCAAATACTCAACAGCCATTTCAAACCAAAGCAGTGCTCCTTCGTAGATAAGGCCAACTTTTTTGGAGCGACTAGAAGTCCAGGAGAATCACTGGGAGACGCGATTAAGAGGACTAGCAAGCTATTGCGAATTCGGTGACGCCCTGGAAACGAATCTGAGAGATCGTTTTGTCCTAGGCCTAGGCTCTGGCCCGGAACGCGACAAGCGCTTCGAGCAGAATCCGACAACACTTACGCTAACTAAGGCGATTGAAATAGGGGAACAAGCTGCTTGTGCAAGAGAGGTAAAGGTGATGCTGAATACGAGCGATTTTGGGCTCATCAAGGAAGAGCCTGTGTATCGTGCAAAAATTCACCAGTTCGTTCGGGGAAGCGGACGTGACGGCAGTGGCAATGACAGTGTCGGCGCTGGGACATCGCGACGCGAAACTGGCTCCTGTTCAGTTTGTGGTATGAAAATCATTACAGTGATAAATGCCGGTACAAAAGCTATAAGTGTCAAAAGTGCGGTATAAAAGGGCATTTAAAGAAAGTTTGTGCTAAAAATAAAAATAACTCGTGTGCTTATCACATTCAATCAGAACAGGAATGCGGCGCTAATGAGGTCAAGGACACAGGTTGCGTAGAATGCCAGAACTTTAACTTAAGGTACGTTGATGATAAACCAATTGAAATAAATTTAATTTTGGGCAATCACAACTTAACAATGGAACTAGATTCAGGCTTGAGCAGCTGTGTAATTTCTGAAAAATTGTATGCTGAAAAGTTTTCCGATTATCATTTAAATAACAGCAATATAAAAATGTGTCTGTATAATGGGCATAAAATCTCTCCACTTGGATATTTCTGGGTTGAAGCTTGTTATAATAAAGTTAAACACAAAATAAAAATTTATGTTGTTAAAAATGGGGGCCCTCCCCTGCTGGGTAGAGATTTTATGTCCGCGTTTAATTTAATTATAACAACTAACATAATGTCTATGTGTATTGATAAGAATGTAAACAATGTATTGCAAAAGTTCCCTAATTTGTGGCAGGATGAGTTAGGTTCGTTCAATAAATTTAAAGTATGTTTACGTTTAAAGGAAAATGCAAAACCTAAGTTTTTCAAGCCACGAACCGTACCCTTTGCCCTTAGGGATAAAGTCGAAGAAGAGTTGAACCGTTTAGTAACCTTAGGTATTTTAGTTCCAATTGACCAATCAGAGTATGCCACGCCTATTGTACATGTTTTGAAAGAAAACAATAAAATAAAAATAGCAGGAGATTTCTCGGTCACGCTGAATAAAGATATTTTGATTGAAAGATACCCCTTACCTCAAATCGAAGAAGTATTTGCTAAAATTGGGGGTGGCGAACGATACAGTGAAATTGATCTTAAGAATGCTTATAATCAATTTGTTTTAGATGAGCCATCCCAATTACTTACAACAATAAATACCCATAATGGGTTATTTAAATATACAAGATTAGTGTATGGCTTTTCTAATGCACCTGCAATCTTTCAAAAGGCTATGGAGACACTTCTCTCTGGAATAAATGGAGTCAGCGTATGGCTCGATGATATATGTATAACTGGCCCCAATAGTGATTCCCACATTAAAAGATTAGAAGAAGTATTAAGTCGGTTAAGTGACGCCGGGTTGCGACTACAGAGAGACAAGTGTGATTTCTTTAAGGATAGTGTAAAATATTTAGGCTATGTCATAGATAAAAACGGCTTAAAGACTGACTCGGAAAAAGTTCACGCTATCATTAATGCGCCCGAGCCGACTAACGTAACCGAAGTTAAGAGATTTTTAGGCATGGTCAATTATTATAGGAATTTTATACCAAATGCTTCTTCACTACTCCATCCTCTTCACGAGCTATTGCGTCACGATACGCCCGAGCGCGTGCTAGCGCACTTCGAGCCCACAGCACAACTCGTACTGTGCGTGGACGCCGGACCCGGGGGCCTAGGCACCGTTCTATCACAACGATCGGACGACGGTCACGAACGCCCCCCTCGCATTTGCGTCTCGTTCACTCACCACCAGTGAAAGTAAATACAGCCAAATTCAGAAAGAGGAAACTGTCATTATATTCGGGGTGAAAAAATTTCATCAATTTTTGTATGGTCGAAGCGATCCGATTATTCTTAAAACCGACCATAGGCCTCTAGTTTCTATCTTCGATACTAAAACAGGCATACCGATTACAACAGCGCTGAGATTACAGCGATATGCTATAATATTATCGGCCTGTAATTACACTGTCCAGTATGTGTCGAGCGATAAAAACGTAGTTGCAGATTATTTTTCTCGCTCACCCTTAACGTGTAGAAACGCATCGGAATGCCACGATAACGATGTGGACTCTTACTACGTAGTTAAGTTTATGAATGAGACGTCACCGGCAACGACAATCCGCGATATTGCACAAGTGACACAACAAGATACGGTTCTTAAAACAGTCATTAGGTACATGAGTCACGGTTGGCCACGTAAAATAAGCTGTCGAACAATACTTCCTTATTTTCAATGTAAGTCCGACTTACAGTTCGAACAAGGGTGCTTATTTAGGGGACATAGAATGGTAATTCCGTCAAAGTTTAGGGAATACATGCTAAAAGAACTACACGACACACATCTAGGAATAATAAAAACAAAAAGTAACTCACGAAGTAGGATGTGGTGGCCGGCTATCGACCGCGACATTGAACGTTGGATCGGGTTCTGCAAAACATGCGTGAGCTTATGCTGCGCCCCGCCGCGCGATCCGCCGGCGCCGTGGCCCGCCGCCGCCGGCGCATGCCAGCGCGTACATATCGACTACATGACCGTGGGGCAAAGGGTATACCTCGTGGTAGTTGATTCGTTTAGTAAATGGCTGGAATGTATATACATGAACAGTGGAACGTCGTCACAATCGCTTATTACAAAATTAAAAAATATTTTCTCTACCTTCGGTATACCTATTGTTTTAGTTTCTGATAACGATGTTAAAATAAACTCTAATGAATTTAAGACCTTCTGCTCTAACAATGGCATTAAGTACTTAACTTCCCCCATATATCATCCACCAAGTAATGGACAAGCGGAGAATTCGGTTGGGACTTGTAAAAAAGATGCTAAAATGTATTTTAAAAGATAACCTACCACAGCACCAAATTAATGAAGAATTATTGGGATATTTATTTAACTACACGAACACGGTACACTGTACAACGCTGGCTAAATTAATGTTTGGTAGAAATCTACGATCTCGTCTCGACCTAATTATACCCATAGAAAAAACACAATTAAATATGCTTTTAGTAACCAGTAGGAGATTTTTTGAATTAGGTGATACTGTTTGGGATCGGTGGTACAGTGCCCGGAAAGAAACTTGGGAGTTAGGTACAATTAAAGAGAAGGTCGGTAGTAAAATGTACAAAATATTTATTATAAAATATGAAGCAACTTGCATTAGACATATAGATCAGCTGTTAAAATTTACGGGCAACGATAATTCATTAAAAATTAATAACACTGATATTGTTGAGAGTCGCAATTTTCAGTCGTTACCCTTGTCGCCGTCTATGCCCGTTAATGCTCCTTTATCCGAACCTTCTGTCATTGACCATAGTAGAGCAACCCGTTAATACTGACGCAATAGACCATGATAATGGGGAAGAATGGGGCGATTATTCGGCACAGGACAGCGTGGGAGACTCAACAGAGATTCCGGAAGCGTCAGATTCGCCTGAAGCTTCCGAAAACGGAGTCGAACAGCCTCAGAGCGATTCTGTCCGCTCCAATGACGTACCACCAGCGCAGGCACCGACACCCGCTCGTCAACTGCGCCCCCGGAAGAGGATAGATTATAAGAAATATTTTTAATTGATTCATTCTGTTATTAAATTTAGTTGTATGTGTGTTGTGGTGTGGTGTGGTATTATTTAATTTATTAAATGTTGTACATCTGTTAAGTCATAAGTATCTTAAATATTGTTTTATTTAAAACTTTATGTATTATATATTTAATAGAAATTTAAGTATTAACTGATCACTGTAAATCTACTTTGTTAACAGGTATCAAAAATTAAGTGTAGAGTGTAGAGGAATGATATGTATTTGTAACGGGAACTTGCCGTTTTTAAGATGCTGGAGAGCCATTCTAATCTCGCTTAGACTGACGTCCGGGATATCATCGGAATAGTGTCGGATACGACTTGCTCTTGGATCGTCACTCACACTTGCGTGTGGCTCCAACGATGATGTGTACAGCTGCCCATAGAACCTTTTAATCTCACTCAGTCTTCAGCTTTGACAGTTGGCTCTTTCTGGCAGACAGATCACTTACAAAAACTTTGGCGACAAGGTTCCGCTCGATCGCGTCTTCAATACGAGCAGTATTAAAGTTGCGTAAATCCCGCCGCATGAATTTGGAGATTTGTCTGTTCCGTCGCCTGTATGCTGTAAAATCTGCTTACGATTGCAGCTTCATCTCTCTTCGAACCATCATGAGATTAAGAGTGTGATCGTAGAGTTTTTTGTTCTTCTGTGGCGGGTCTTGTAGAACTTAGCTCCAATCGCATGGACGGTTTCCACGAGCTTCTCATTCATGTCGTCCACTGAATTGCAATCTTCTAGGCACTGAAAATGGTTTTGTAACTAGAGCTGAAAGGTTTCGGGATTTTGGATTAGAGCACGAGGGGGACGGAGGGTTGATTTCATTAGACGAGACCTCTCCAACTTAATGTTTTTAAAACATTATATTTTATGTAACTTTTTTGTTAATTTGCAAATCTACTAATTGACACTAAAATTTTTCTGTTAAATCACTTTCTCAATTCAACTCAGTCTCCAAAACATAGCAAATACCTTAACATTAACTATGTAGCTACTGTAATTTAAGTTTCCAAATTATTTAAAGTATAAATTACTACCACCCTGAAAATCCTGCGAACAGCTAATATAACTTTGCTCTGTTGAACACCTATAAAGTGCTTTTAGCAAGATTATCGTTTAACGCTTCACGATCATTTCGTTCGGCGCTGTTAACGGCGATCCATTTTTCATTTCTTTTTACGTTTAATAGTTGGTTATTTTTAAGTTTCAGTATATAATATTACAGATATTAAGAAACTTTTAACTTAAAATAGGCATTGGAAACT